TAATCTCCTTCAAAATATGCTCCATAAAGCGATACACAATGCCAACGCTTTCTTCCCAATCATCAAACAATTATAGGCGCTTTCCGGTATGGCTTTGAGTTCCCTCTGCGAATTCTGTTTTACGTCTTCTATGGATTCAAAACGCGTTCCTCTGAGTGGTAATTTGAGGTTGGGAAACAGGAAAAAGTCACACGGTGCAAGATCAGGTGAATACGGTGGCTGTTCGATGGTATTTATTGAATGTTTGGCCTTAAAATCGTTGATAATGTTGAACAAATTGAGGTGAATCGGAACAAGCCGGGCGTTGACACGTCGCATACACAAATTGTCCACCAAAATCAAACGAGCCATCTCACGACCGATGCCTAGCTCTCGTGCTATCTCTCTAACACTCACATGAGGATTTTTGAACACGATTTCCTTTGCCTTTTCAATGTTTTCGTCGGTGGTAGAGGTCGAAGGTCGTCCAGAACGCGGCATGTCTTCGACGGTCGTACGACAGTCCTGAAAGGCTTTGTACCACTCATAAACTTGAGTTTTCGATAAAACTGATTCCCCATAAGCCTTTTGTAGCATTCGCAACGATTCTGCACACGAAATTTCGTTCGAAAAACAAAATTTGATGCAAACTCTTTGTTCAATATTTTTTTCCATTGTTTTTTTCGCAACGCACTACTGAGGTGAACTGGTTTCAACAGCTGCCGTAAACGAACTGTCCGACAGATCGCGCTCATTTTGCATAGTAATTAAGACAGTGCTGCCAAACTACATAAACTTAAAATATCGAAAAATATACAGCGCGCGAATTTTAAATGAGAATTTCCGAAAGCTTTTCGGTCACAATGTACTATATCATTATAAAGAACATCAAGAAATTTTGCTTTAGGAGATTTTAAATTCGTTATAATTTAAAATTTAAATATATATTTATCAAGATATATTGCATTTTTAGTCTTTTGGTCTCGTATACTCTTGAAAATGCATTTAATTTTAAATTTGCATACTCAAGCAAGATTAAAACAATATAAATTTCAAATTTTATCTCAAGTCCATGCTTGTCTATTACACTTGCTTATGTATTTTTTATCAAATATTCACTAATTTATTTTTTTTTATAGAATGTTTTTAGAGTCTTAAATTACGTATGTGTAAAATATACCTAGTAGTCTATATTGTCTTGTAGAATATGAACACCACAGAGCGTATGAGCTTTTTTTTTTAACACATATACGCTTTTTTTCTGAGTAGTTTCTGTCATTTTGTCTCTTTTTATTAAATAAAAATTAGTGCTTATTATCATATATTTTGCTGAAAAAATATATGTAATAATATTTTAGAAAAATTAAAATAATTAAATTAAATTAAATTAATGATATTATATCTCGTGACAAAAAATTTATTTCGAATAAAAAAAGTGTAATAGCGATTAAATTTTTATTACAAAAAATTCAATATATAATCAAGTGAAATTTATTTACTGATCATAGATAATTAAAAATTTTATCTTTTATGACAAAAAACGAGGTAAAATATTTTATTTTTAATTAAGTCAATTCTTAGGCAGCTATCGAACTCTTTCAAATTTAAAGCGCAGACTCAAATTATACTAGACTAAACCAATGTCATACTTAATTTAAGCTGATCAAATTTAAAGTTGTGTTATTTTGTTGTTGTTAATGCATTTAATATACTATAAAAAATAACAATTTCGCTAATCTATGGTAATTTAAATATTTTGTAAATCACATATCTCGTAATTGGGCCCATAGCAAAAAATTTTAGGGGATGTGATGGAAACTTAGTAATTTAAAAAAAAATGTTTAACTTATAAAATATATATATGTAACGTTTTTTAAAGAACCATTCTTTTTTTATTAAAGATAAATTTTCTTTATGGAAGAATTTCATTCAAAAAGATGGAATATTCAAGTGCTTTCATGGCCAGGAAATAACTCTGACTCTGATCCGTTTGAGAATTTGTGGCACCAAATTGGAAAAAAAATAACTAAATTAAAGCTCTATAAAACTGTAGAGAGCATATATATATATATATAAATACTGTCGTTTGCTCAAAGTTTGTTAATATCTAACAAATGCGTAATTTGCCTTAAAATTAACCACAAAATTTACTATTAGATTGTAATTTGTTTTTGTGACATAATAATTAACTCAACAAAGCCATAAATCGTTTTGTTGAGTCTCGTAAACTTAATGAAATGATAATAAAAGGAAAATCAAAACTTAAAAGTTGTAATTTATATGTCTATAAAGAAATACCTGTGACTATTTTTCCAAATTCTTGTTCAAGGATATAATTATGATTAAGAAATTTCGTAAAATACCATATTTTGTTTTATTTTTGTTGTTCCAAATTAGTTCCAAATTAGTCAATTCGTCTTATTATTTTCATTTTAATATTGACTTGTATGAAATATTTTTGTAAGGCTCTTCTTGACGTAAAGAATAAATTTAAAAACTCTTAAAAGTTCTTTAAAGCGATTTATTTAAAGTTAACAATTTCCTTGGTGTGTTCTATAAAAAATAGAACAATTGCTAAAAAGTGCATGAATATATTTGCTATATTTATGCTTCCTTTTCGACCCAGTTGCATATAATTAATACCAATTTAAACACATTTGCATGCCAAAACCAGACAAACAGAGAAATATAAATACTTTTTTCTGCATGCAACAAATAGTACTTTTCAATACGACGAGTGAGTATTCAATCCACTTACTCACATAGTATCATACTTGGGTATTGAGTCGTTAGCTTGGGAAAGGTACTTCTACGTACGTTCACAGTTCGGTTCGTTGTATTAAAATGCAAATGCCCTTAAATATTATGCAAGCAGCCAGCAGAGTACAACAAAAAAGTTTAGCTAAACTTACAGGCCTCAACTCTGTAGACATAAATTTTGTTGCTTTATAACTGAACTTACTTAAAAATGTCCTTTACAACATGAGGTTGGAAACTACGTCAAAATACTGTAAAAAAAAATTTTTTTTTGTGGAAACAAAACGCAGATGGTGAAGGGTCTGAGTTCCTAATGCGGTCGACCTTCTTTAAATTGCTGTCAAAATCAAACATTAGAAAATTTTATACAAATTTACAAAATATATCTTTTGTATATATACCTATACGTTATATGTATTATTTAAATGCAATGGGACACTTTTTACTTAATAGAAACGTTTTTAAACATAAAAGTATTTATTTATATACATACTATAATTCATTATTCATTTATGCTTTTTAAGTTACATTTAAAGGTTTATACTTTCCTTTATATAAAATTTTATTTATTGATATAAGTTCAAAATTTATTTTTGATGGACTGTTGTATAGTTTCGTAATATTCTTTTACAATTCCACATTTGAATATGTAAGTAGGTGAGATGTGATTAAAGTATTCGATTATTGTAATTAATCATTTCTATTTTATTTTAAATAAAAACGATGTGTAAATATATATTAAAGAAATAATTCATCATAAATGTGATTGATTTATTATTATTTCATACTTTCGTATATGAAATATGTATACATATCTTTTCGTTTTAAGTTTCCGGTTATTGCTATGGTCCACAAGTAAATAAAGAAAAAAATCAATCATTCAATTGATAAATCAAAATATATTTTTTCATTTTTTTGCAGTAAAAAATTGAATCGGTAAGATTTCAGGGATTTGCAAGAGCAGGAGCAACGATTAGGGCCACAGTTTCTGAGAAATCCTTTTTTGAAATATCTAAAATTTATATAGTAGCTTCACAAAATATTCAAGAAAAAGTAATTGGTTAAATTGATGTCTATAATTTTAAATCGAGAATATATATTTCATAGAAGTATTTTTTACCTTGGATAACTAGGAGAGGGATAATTAGGAGAGGGAGCAACGATTAGGGCCACAGTTTCTGAGAAATCCTTTTTTGAAATATCTAAAATTTATATAGTAGCTTCACAAAATACTCAAGAAAAAGTAATTGGTTAAATTGATGTCTATAATTTTAAATCGAAAATATATATTTCATAGAAGTATTCTTTACCTTGGATAACTAGGAGAGGGATAATTTAATTAGCACGTAAGAGTATAGCATCTGACACATGGTATAAGTAAAGATTAGATAAAAAATAATTAGATTTTAATATAACAAAACAGTTAGAAAACATCTACTTAGATTTAACAGTGAGAACAAAAATTGATGTAGACAGTAGAAGTAGTGTAGAAGTAGCAACCACAAATTGATAAGATCAGTTTAACAAAAAAATAGATCTAAATCCATAGAGTCGAATAACTAAGCATTCTATAATTTTTAATGTAGCTAAAATAAAATATTTAATCCTCTTGCCATTGCTACAGTTCTAGTAACCGTCAAGATTTTGATTCAACACTTATGGCAACAACCTAACCTGGTATAAAGTTAAATTTAGTGAGGTGTGTAGAAGATAGATCAACATATGAATAAAACTACTATGAACTCCAAACAGCATATCTAACTAATTTTCAAGATCCAAAAAATAATAAACTTTTAATATTTTAATATTTATTTTTCATCAATCGATTTGTTGGTTTTATTTTGTTCTATATATGTGTCTTTTTAATTATATCGTTTGCCTGACAATTAGTTCTATCTCTATAAAAATCCTTCTATAAATAATTTCAGTTCATAGATGCTGTTTCTTGTATTACTCGCAAATCTTTTTCGAATCGAAAACTGTCATGTTAACATAGGCAACATCTTTTTGATTGCATTAATAAAATTAAATGCATTTCAATCGTAAGATTTGTTGGTAATCTTTTGGTCTTACATTGAGAACATAAATTTATTGAAGTAATTAAGTGGATCTTAAGAATCTCAAGAAATTTCTACATATAAGTCATTTTTGCAATTTGTTTTAATTTAATATCGTTTATTTAATATTATTAAATATAATTAATTATTTATAATAAAAATTTGCTTTGCACATTTTAATGCTTCATTTTTATTGACTCTTTACAGAAATTCTTTTACATAGAATTCATTAAGGTATGTAATATATAATATTTATAAATATTATATATAAATATTTATTTATAAATTAATTAATAATAAAATACATCTTTTATAAGTTAAGTATTAACCACATTTCGAGTAGTTCTATTTGAGTGGAATATTATCCTCATTTAATTATCTTTAACAATTATAAAATTACTTTTGGCGTAAATATTAAATAAATGTGAATTAAATATGTATATATTTTTTTTTTTTTTTTTTTTTTTTTTTAATTTTATTTTCTTTTATTGCGATCTGTCAATTCAGAGTAGACAATAAACAATATTTAAAAGTGACTAAATACTTAAAAGACCATTTTGAGCTTGAATGGACTGAGCTCAGTAGCACATCCGTCTGTTGAAGTCGGACACATTAAAGTTCCAATGGCGTGTGAACGTTCTCCCTTCTGCTATAATTCTGCTCATAAAGAGGTTGGGATGATGTAACATACGTTTTTTGTGTTTACTGGCTTGGCTTTTTATGACATCCTTAACTACCGGAACGTTAAGATCGCGATGTATACATTCATTTGTTATATATCTAGGAGCATCTATGATTAATCTAAGGGTTTTTGATTGAAAACGTTGAATAATCTCAATATTTGAAGATGCAGCAGTTCCCCAGAGTTCAATGCCATATGTCCAGATTGGTTTGAGTATCGCTTTGTAGATAAGAAGTTTATTTTCCACGGAAAGCTTTGAACTTTTATTCAGTATCCAGTAGAGCTCCCGCAGTCTGATGCCAAGTGCTTTTCTTTTAGTAAAAATATGGTGCTTCCAAGTTAGTTTTGTGTCAAAGTGTATTCCTAAATATTTCACTTGGGTAGATTGAGGGATTAAGATATCGTTAAGTCGTACCGGAGGGCAATTTTTCCTTCTCATTGTAAAGTTTATTTGTGAAGAATATGTATATATAAAAAAGTTTTAGTAAAAGTGTTTATGAAATATATATATAAAATAATATACAAATTCCTGTGAGTAGATAGATGATAGTTAAAATATTTAATTTTTTATTAGATTATTTAGAATATTAAAATGAAAATAAATAAATTGTTTTTAATTTACTTTTAACGTACTTCTTTTGGGTGTCTTGTCCGTTTCAAATGTTGACTAACATAGCTGTCATGACGGGTGATCTCGAGATTTGGCCGAACCATTTTCGTAGACTCTTAGACCATTGATTCTGCTTTTTATAATTAATTTAAGCTGACCGTACTTTTCTGGATGTCTTAAAGTATGCTCAAAGTCTTCTAATATACTTTTAATGCTTTCAATAACTAATATATATTGAGTTAAAAGTTATAATTATGAAAAACTGGAATCTTTTCGCTGTGACCTTAATGTCAACTATTGGAAGTTTCTCGCATTATGGTTTGTGTTGATCTGTCGATCTCATATAGTCATGGCGCAGATGATGCAGTATTCGTTCTGTACACGGGCATGTACTTTTACTAGTGATGGTAAAGTGCTTTAATAATGTCTTAGAACCAAAACCAGCAACTACTTCCAATATTTCTCAAACAGAGCAATTGGTTAAGTCAAGCTAAGTTGATGTGGGTGCTTTGTGTTCAATTTTCATAACTCTTTTGAATTATATACATTATTTAACCTTATAGGTAGATATATTGGAGTGGTGGTTTTGTATTCAAGAAAGTCCATTTGCGCTAAAATAATGGCCCATTGTGTTATCACAGGAATAGCGTTGATACGTACATAAATTAAAAGGGCGGTATACAACCAATGCCGAAAAAGGCAAAGATTCCTCCATTAGGTCAAGGAAAACCAACCTGTAATAGAACTGTCAGGTTGGTTTTCCTTTAACTATTGGGGGAATCTTTGCCTTTTTTGGCGTTGGTTGTATACTGACCTTAAAGTCTATGTACGCATCAACGTTATTCTTTAAATTGTGGGAAATTATTACCGCAAAATAACTATTTAACGTATAGTTTTTCTATAGTTTTTTTCCTGATATTATCTAGGCTGCCAAAGTTTGATTCTTGGCAAACTTTTGCATTATTACCAAAAATTTCAATAAAATTTTATTTTTTTAAAATCTTATTACCTTTGGATTGCATAAAATTCAGTATCACTGACTTGTATTCCCTGAAATATTTCAAATATGTTTCTTTAGAAGTGCCTAGAATTTTATTAGTTTTTTTTTTATGTTGAAATACATGTTCAGTGCTGTTTCGGTTGTCTACCTTGTGATTTTATTGACCTAATTTTTGTTCTATGAAACCATTTGCCTTACTCATTGTATGATATTTGCTTCATAAACATAAATTTTCATTCACCAAAACTTAGAAGAACCAATAAATTTGTAACTACAAAATCTAACCGTAGGCACATAAACACCATATATCAGTTACTGCTCAAGGATTTCATTCATGGTCTATATGTACATAGGTATACTGCTTTTAAAATATACAATTTACACACGATTCTAATTGCAGCAATCTCATATTCAAAAGATACTTGTAAGCTTGTGCAGTTGTTTATGCTATGAAAAACATATACGCATATACATTATGTATACACATATTTACGAAGAATTCTCTGTAGATTTGTTTGTATGTATGTATGCTGAGAGAGATAGTTAGTGCCATGAAACATAGCACTTTGAGTAGGTGTCGCCTAACGTGCATGCACCTCGAATCTATGAATAAATTAATGGCAAAATTGAACATTTTTATTTCTGAATCGTTACAAATGTACGTACTATTGTACGTGTGCACATACTTGTTTATAAGTAAGTAAGTTTGTATCTATGTTAGTTTACGTTATCTGTTACTGAAGTCACAGTTTAGTGTTTGTTGCGAAAAGCCTCACTTGCGTTTGCCTTGCCATTGCCTAATTGCCTCTCAATAAATGCTGTTCTGCATTGTTTTATTGCTATGCAAATTAATAGGTTTTTCGTTCCACGAATCTGAATGAATGTTTTTAAATTTAATTTTAAATTTTTTATTGTTGAAAGTGCATTCGGTTTATTTCAATATACGTTATATCACACTTAACATGTCGTTTTTAATTAATAAACCAATTAATTGAAGCAGTTATTAGTTGACATTTGTAAATAACTATTTTCAACAAAACTATTTTGTTTGAAATATCATTTGTAAAATTTAATTTTAGTAGAATAAAAATTATTTGCTAATTGTATTAAAAAAATTTTCTATGACCTTTTAATTATTTTTTAATGGCTCAAATATTTTTATAATTGAAAAAAGGGTTTTACAGAAGAACGGCACGCTTGGTGCACTTAATAAGTCCCATAGTACCTTTTTTTTTCAAAGCTACATATTGAGTTAATTATGTAATATAATATAAAAGTAGTGATTTAGTTTTATAAAATTTTTAAAGCCTAATAAACTCAACTAAGAAATGTTATAGTAAATAAGAAAATGACAATATTCCTAGAGGTAATAAGAGTGGAGATACTTTTACTCAACTTAAAAAAAATTTGAACTGCTGTCATAGATTTACTACTACAAAATTGTATTCAATACAAATATAAATACAGTTTTATTTTGTATATATGAAACATTGTAGAGTGTAACTACTATTTTCTCAAAATAGTTAGCTTTTCTCATCAATATTTCAATAGTTAACCCAAATTACACACAGAAGAGTAGTGAAAATGTCTGTTAAACATAAACAGATTAGATTTAATTGTTTGAAAATGATAACCGGTCAATTTCTTCTAAAGAAGAGTAAGGTGCTGTTAGGATTTTCAACAGCCGACGAATATTTATATATTCTTGGACAATATCAATACAATATAGGAAAAGAATTCTCTACAAATTGATCCACTAATTAGAATGGTCAAATATTGTTCTGGAAAATATTAAGATTTCTTTAGTTACAGCTGAAGTAAAAGCAATGCTTTGACAATTATGGATAGGGCAAGATATAATAGTTTATCAATGAACGCAGTGTATATAATAATAATACTATAATTATAGTATAATACTATACTATAATACTGTAATACTATAATCTTTATGTACACCGAATTATGTTCTCGTTTTCTCAGAGAATATTCAATAACGATGTATGGATTCGCACAAGCCATATTAGACTTATAGTATAATAAATATTTCCATAACAATGTCCATAGTATATGTAAATAGAACTTCAAAGAGCAGCAGAAACTAGTAAATTTAATGGATAGGCGTTAAGTTGGCGTATGTAAGGTTCTGGTTGCTTTGTGTGTCGCTGGATACATTAGCAAAGTAATAGATCGCGAATTTAAAGATGCAAGCTTTTCATGGTATCACATTGCATTTTTTTTCTATAAAAGAGTTTTATTTAAACTAATAACAAAGTCTCTAAGCTTCAATATGGAGGACATAATTACATACATACATGCACACAGTTATAGTATTGTATGTTAGGTTAGGTTAGGTTATACCGGTGATCCCTAGTGGATCCACTTAGGCCTTTTGGCCCATTGTGATGCCGTATATAAATACTAAAAGAAAGTAAAAGAAACCTCAGGGTTTAAAACCACCTAGAACCTTTTGCGAAGCATAAAATGCTATTTAAAGCCCGATCCTGTAACTGGTCCAGGTCTTCAAGGAAGGGGGCCCCTAGAGTACTAAATCGCCGACGTGCAAGAGCTGGACAAAAACACAACAGATGAGATGCGCTCTCATCGTCCTCCCCACAGCTACGACAGATTTGGTTGAAAGGAAGACCTAGTCTTCTAGCATGGTTCCCTAGTTTACAGTGTCCTGTAGTCAACCCTACCAGAAGACCAATGTCCTTCCTTGAGTTTTCGATTTCCTTTTATCGGAAAGTGGCCAGATTGCATACAGATGTCTACATATCGTTGAGTCTTCCCATCTTTTATTAAAAGTATTTGTGCAGAAAGAACTCAATATCAGTTTACATGATGTTAGTGATATGCCCAGATAGTCTAGGTGCTCCGAGTATGGCACTGAAGCACCCTTTCTGGCTAACTCGTCTGCTTTGCAATTTCCGAAAATATCCCTA